TCAAGATACTAATATTTATTATTGGAAGGGGGATTAGGATGATGCTAGGTGTTAAGAGAAAATGTAAAGATATGTGTTTATTATGGCATGTAATTGACTAGGACAGAGGCTCCCAGACTGTGTCCTGCTGCAACCTGAAGTGTTAAAAAAATGAATGGACTTAATGCAAGCCATTTATAATTAAGTTGGCATTTTTCACTAGTTCTCCAACCTACTTGAAACTCTGTACTTATTAAAGTAGCGGTTGGTTTTGTGCAGTGTCTATGCTGTATCAATTAAATATTGTTTTGATAGAGTCAAGTGAAGTTAATGAGGTATGTCTTCTTGTATAAGTATAAGGTTTCAAAAATCGATTAGATTGTTTAAAAAGTGCTATTTTACAGTGCACAAAGAATGTGGCTTATTAGAGCAAAATTGAAAAGACGTGGGTGCTTAATTTTTTCTTGGCCGACGCCCAAGTGGTAGATTACCTATAGAACTATATTTTAAAATAGAATTAAAAAATACAATAAAATTATCAACATAAATGTATTCTTACTTGTATTTAGATGTACGTCACATTGTTCTTCGTGTTTCTTCAATGCTACCGGTTCATGAAAATCTTCAAAATATGGCACATTTCTAGATTGATAATAATGGCTATAAGATGGCAAACCAACAGGAAGTATTCGCCGTAACCGTCACGTGACCAACCGAATATTATAAAGCCCTCACGTGACAAGCCGGGTCCGAATAGCCAATTGCTGATATAGGTACCGGTTACCTGTAGCCACTCCGTAAAATAATTGTACGTTGAAAATATAAATCCACACACACAGTGAAATTCTTGAAAGTCTCTTGTAGCTCTAATATCTCTACCAGTCACAGTTTACCATCTTATTTATAAGCTAAAGTGTGGGTGGGGGAGGGGGGGAGGAGACGTTTCTAGAGACGAAGCGTTAGTCTAGAAGGGAAAGCGAGAATTCTACATTTCCAATAAAATCTTCTGGTAAGTCAACGAGAGGTTGTGGTTGGACTATGACCCGCCAACACAAGGAAATGTTCATTGCTTTAGACCGGGGGGGGGGGGCACAAAAACTGTATTCACGGCGGGCCAGATAACGGAAGAAAACGACGAGCGCGTGCTGGATAATCATTCTGTACAATACTTGCATGCCAGAACGAAAACTTTGGGGGAAAAAGACGAAAAACTAAGTTTACTATGCCATGTTAATCATGGGTGAATGGCTTGCAATGCCAAAATGCAAAGACAACCAGAATTTTTATGTACTATAATAGTTTCCAAAGAAGGTGACGTTAGCAAAAAGATAGCTGCATCAGACCTAGTGAGCACATAGTCCAATTTCACACACTAAGCAGCAAAAACGCTTAGTGAGATTTGTGAAACTGGCGTTTGGCTTTCAAGATTTCATCAATGTTTGGTTTGGGATTGCTGCATCCAATCAAAAGAATTGCTTTCCAATGTTCATCAATCTCTCTCGTTCGATGTGTATCTTCACATAGTTTATTATTTTTGTACATGGTTTCTCACAGACATTAATTGTTCCATCCATGCGCTGCAAACAAATGCCAACTCTTCCGTTATCTGAAATTCCAAATATACACCACAAATAAATGAACAAGAGAAGTTGTGAGAGATCAGTAGACTCATCCAGTCCCAGAGAATACCACAGCAAGTTCCTATCTCTCTCACGTAGGCTATCTGTGGCACCATGTTCTCTTGAATTTCATCTGTTCTTCGCAAAACTGAACTTTGCGAAAGGCTGTTAGTTACTACCACGGCGACTACGATTTTTAATGTTCCACGTGTGTTTCCAACACTCCTCTTCCTTTCAGCCATCTACAGTTTGTGGTAGTTATCAGACTATAAAATATTAGCGGGAATAGGCTTAATGTCTATCTCTCTGAACTGTTGCTTGCTTACATCCCCACAAGACAACTACGCTCTTCCATTGACAATAGAACCCTCTCAATCTCAAGAACCAAAACTAAGACCATCGGTGAACGCTCCTTCTACTTCCATGGGCCCACGTTCTGGAACCAGCTCCCCTTCCATATCCGTCATTGTGAAACTTCGTCCTCTTTCAAAAAGTCCATTAAAACCCATCTGTTTAGGTCCGCCTATGACCTGTGATGCACCCTCCTTGCCCTGCCTCATTTTCTGTCTCGGGTTGATCCTGTAGTATAGCCCAAAACGTGCCAAAGTGTCCTCGTTTTATAGCCATTTTAATTGTTTCTATAGTATAGTAGTTACTATCCTAGTGTCTCATTTTTATTTTACTTAGTTTACATGTTTTTAATAATTGTAAAGCACTTAGAGCTTTAAGGTAAGCGCTATATAAAAAT